GACAGAGGCAACCTCGAAGGTTACTATTATTTGCGGCAATGACGAGTCCTCGTGATTAATGTTTTACAATCCTTTGTCAATGCAGAGAGTTTGTAGAATAGCCATTTGGAAATCTTGTCATTAATTGCGCCGATTAATGGAACTATCGGTTGCAGTGTACTTTCAAGTTTGTGTACCTTAGGCAGTCCATAGTTCTCAGCTATGGTTGGTTCGATTTATCTCAGGGACTTGGCAAAATACCTGACATTTGCTCTTTTCCTGTAAGATGTTTAAGTACCTTTTTAATGGCTGAATACTGCGCTTTGGTAGGGTCTGCGTTAAGAAGTTTATAGGTTGATTTATGTTTTTACAAGGATATCCTTCCATCGTAGTCTGCCTTATTCAAAATGGCAGTTGATCCTCCTCTGTCTGGCGATGTTGTTGTCACTTTTGACAGCTTTTAATTTTTACTTTTCTTCATGTCATAGTACTGAAGGAGGACTTCGGTTCTTTAAAGTATTTACAGTGCCATTTTGGATTGTGGAACGTTCATCGTTTATAAGACTTTCTGCTGATATGATGGATTTTAAATTTGCATGGAAGTCTAGGTATTTAGAATCGGAAATATAATATTTCCTTCCCATTGAGAGCGCATGGGTTTCGGTTACAGCAAGGCTTCTTGATAACAGGTTTGCTGCATTTTCTGACGAGGATCAGTGGCAGAATATTTCAAAAAAGTAGATTTATGACGGAAAAGCAACATTTCCTTTCAACAGTTATCCTTTAAAAAGTTGCCGTATTTAAAGGCTGGGTCACCCATTTAACCAATAGCGCCAACTTCTTTAATATTTCATCATTTTGTCCGACATCTTATTAAGCCGTTGAAAAGAATGCACGCACAAACATGAGCGAGGTAGTTTGTAACTAGTAGTTGAAGGATCAAAGAGCCTCTACTAAAGGCAAGACGCGAGGCAACTAAATAGCGGCCTTCCATTCAAAAAATAATTATTAACTATTTGAAACAGGAATATACTTTCAGAGAATGACACTCAACTCAGTGCAAACTTTTCTTCCGTAAAATGGGTTGAATAGCATTCAGAAGATGAAGATGCGATCACTGGGACAAGAAGTTTATTTGCCTGACGTTTCGGATTCTCACTCGAAACCATCATCAGAGACATTCGCAGATAGAGGTGAAGGTGGCACCAGGAGTGCAGTATTTATAGCACGTGGC